CAGTTACCATGCAAACCATCACACATTCTTCTTTGCCACGGTCAGCTACCATGGCAACCATCGTACATTCCCATCGCTATGGTCAGTTACCATGGCAACCACCAGACATTCCCATACTACAGTCAGTTACCATGGAACCATCATGCATTCCCATTGCTACGGTTGGTTACCATGGCAACTATCATGCATTCCCATTGCGATGGTCAGTTATCATGGCACCCATCAAACATTCCCACTGCTACGGTCAGTTACCATAGCAACCATAACACATGCCAATTGCTACAGTTGATTACCATGGCAACCATCAGACAGTCCCATTGCTACGGTCAGTTATCATGACAAGCATCATACTTCCCACCGGCACAATCGGTTACCATGGCAACCATCAGACAGTCTCATTGCTACGGTCAGTTATCATGGCAACCATCAGACATTCCTGTCACTACAGTTGTTACCATGGTAACTATCACACTTCCCACTACTATGGTCAGTTCCATGGCAAACATCAAACAGTCCCATTGCTACCGTCAGTTACCATGGCAACCATCAGACACTCCCATTCCTATGGTCGGTTACCATGGCAACCATCAGACATTCCCATTGCTATGGTCGGTTACCGTGGCAACCATCAGACATTCCCATTGCTATGGTCAGTTACCATGGCAACCATCAGCCATTCCCATTGCTATGGTCAGTTACCATGGCAACCATCAGACATTCCCATTGCCATGGTCTGTCACCACGGTGTCCTGGTTAGGGAGCAGAGGGGGCAGTTTAGCGCTTTGTGGGTGTCACCAAGTTATTTATCCTGTACCATCCATGCCATCCCTAGGGCTGTGCTTCCAGCAGGAAAAGCCGGGGCTCTGCACCACAACTGCTCCCTCCTGCCCCGCTCTCTGCAGGGCAGGGACTGTCAGCATCACTCCTGTGCTCCCCGTCCTCTGCCCCGCTGCTCCCCCTCATGTTTTCCCCAGATCGGGACGATGGACCTTTGGTGCTGAAAGGGGAAACCACGACGGGCCGTGGTGCTGAACCAAAGCTCTGAGCAGGACGGGGCGGTTGGGGGGCAGCCTCAGCCCCCTCAGCCCTCGGGTTGGGAGGAGAAGAGAGGAGCCAGCGCGGGACTGAGCCCAGGGAGCGGCTGTGCCACACGGCCGGGACGACCCAGCTCCCGGGGCTTGGCTTGTCCTTGGTTCTCCTTGTTGTTGGGCTGAGGGGTTGGACACGTTACCCTTGGGAGCTCCCCCACCACATTGCCTTTGTCCGGGGGCACCACACGGACACGTCGCTCGGGGAGCACCCAACATCTTGTCTGTGTGCCCGCTGGTGACCCCTTTTGGGAGTGAAACACCTTCTCTTTCTGGATACTTTTGCTGGTGATATTGCTGTTGTGACTGTGCGTGTCTTATTCCATTGCTCTGTGCTTTTAGTGAATTGTTATCTCCACCCAGAGTCTCTGATTTTTTGTCCCTCCCTCACCAGAAGGGGCGTGGGAAAAGGAGTGACTTATGTGAATTTTAATTTCCTGATGGTGCTAAAACCACCACACCTGCCATGCACCAGGAAAGATGGAATGATGCAGTGGGTGCTGGGACCTGCCAACATTGGGATGCACATTTAGCAAAGGCCACCTGGTCACTCAGCACTGGGGGATGTGCCAATCGGGCTGGCCCTGTCCAATCCAAGTTTTTACGTGCCATGGAAAGGGATAAAGTTCCTGTAGTGCACATTAAAAACATGCTGAGAAGACAGTCTGGGTTATTCCTGCTTCAGGCAAAGGGAAGTGCACCCGTGGGGTGTGGGGCATTAGGCAGTGTGTGTGAGCAATCATGTTGAGCATCACTTGTTCCTCTGGGGTTTTATTCCTCTCTCTTTCTTTTGTCTCCCTTTTCAATACAGTTATTATTAGCTACTACACTTATTATTATTTTCATACTTTACTTTGTTTCAGTTATTACATTTTTCTTATCTCAACGCAGGGGTTTTGCCTTTTCTTGATTCTCCTCCCCCTGTCAGTGCAGGGGGAGGTCGGGGGACTGAGTGAGCAGTTCTGTGGCACTTGGCTGCTCACTGGGGTTAAACCACACAAAAAGGGAATGCACAGGAGTGGAGACCCTGCTGGGATGTGCTTTTGATATGGTTTGAAGCCGGCTCCCTGACAAGTCTCCAAACCTTACCACCAGAAGTGTCCCCCCCCCAAAACTCAGGGAGAAGAGGGAGAAAAAAAAACTAAGAAACGAGAGAGAGACAACCAAAGTGAGATATATAAATATATTTACACTTATACACAATAAAATATACAATTTCACAAGGGAAAGGGAAGGGGGAAAGGAAAAAGGGAACAAAACTAAAATAAAATATATAGATATCCCAATTAGTGACCCAATATCTAACAACTAAAAGAGTTAGCAAAGAAAATAGCTCACTACTCTCCTGGGACAACCGAGAGTCGCTCCGGAACGATCACCGGCAACCTCCGTCTGCCAAGGTCGGCAAGGCCCAACCAGGCCTCGCTCCCCAACACGGCAGATCAACAGCAGGGAACCTGCACCTCCAAAGCTGGAAGGAAAGAGCGAAGGCCTCTCCTCCTTTCTTCTTATAGTCTGGTTTACGTAAAAATCGTAGGGAATACTGGGTAAATCTGGACCCTTCCTTGGTTACAAACTGGTCACCAAGGAAGGCCCAGCCCAAACCACCACAGCTTTGTATTCAGGAACTGCCCAGCACCAGCTGGATAGAGAAGGGCCAGACCTTATGTCCCTGCAGGGCTGGGATTCACTCCCTGCCCCAAAGGCCCCCAATGTGTCTGAGGAGCCCTGGGTGGTGCCTGTCCCACAACTGCTGGGAATGGGGACGGGGTCCCTGCACAGGCCCTGTGCTGTCCATGGCAGCTGCTGCACTTGTGCTGCAGAGCCCTGGCACCTCCCCTGGCACTACAGGCCCCTCTTTGGGTACGAAATTCAGGTTCAGCTGCCCTGAATTTTGTTCAGCAAGGAAGGGATGTCCAGGAGACAACTGCCATTGTACTCTAAGGATGTGTAGAAAATACCCTGATAAAGAACAGGAGAGAGACCTCCCTCCCTGCATTTGCTCAGCTGAGCACCTCTGTGGGCTGCCCTGGACAGGAGGAACAGTGACAGGTTCCCCTGTCCTACATGTGGGCCCCTTCTGCCACTGAAGTTGGCCAAAGCAATGTCCCAGCAGCCTCCAAGAAGATCCCACAGCTGCTGCCCTGTGCCTAGGAACTGCTCCATTGGAGCCTGCAGTTCCCAGCAGGAATCTCGGTCACCTCTGGCCCCTCAGAAGTGACCAGGGCTTTGTGTCCCAGCAGGTCACTCCTGGCTTTGGTCTTCATTCATTCCCACGGGAGATGGGACAAGGAGTCTAAGACAGTTTAAATAATTGCACGATCCACTTTGTGGGTACAAAGCTGAATCCTTTGTTTGACACAACTCTAGCTATATATAGGGTTCAGGGAAGGGGGGACATACATTGTATTCACATTTGAGGTTGAGGGTCCAGGAAGTGCAGGGAGATATTTTTCTTCAAACAGATAAACAGCTATTTCTTTATCACAATTACAACAGGAGATGTGGAAAACAAGGTGGTAAAAGGATTTTCATGGAGACAGCAAGTCTGCTTAATTAAAAGATAGTATAAAAATATCAGGTGGTATATGTAAACAAGCTTTCCTTGTCTGTCTTTCAATTCCATGGTTTCTGGCTCCTTTGATCCCCTTTCCCATCCCTCCCAGAGCACAGGGGAGGTCCAGGTGCTCCAGGGGCTGCCCCGTGTGCCCCCTGCCTGTCCCAGCCCCCAGCAGGGACGTTCCACGATGCCCCAACCTGCACTGCTCAGGATGCACATGGAGGGAGTGAAGGGGATCTCGTGTGCAGAGACCCCCAGGAGCCCCCTGAGCCTCTCTGCTCATGGCAGGGGAGCGGCCAGAGAGGCACCGGGTGTGCAGGGGCTGGAGAAGGAGGGGACAGGGACATGGGAATGCAGGCATGGAGATGGGAACACACCCATGGAGATGGGAACACACACATGGAGATGGGAACACACACATGGAGATGGGAACACACACATGGAGATGGGAACACACCCATGGAGATGGGAACACACCCATGGAGATGGGAACACACCCATGGAGATGGGAACACACCCATGGAGATGGGAACACACACACAAGATCAAGCAGAGTAGCTTTGCTGAAGGGATTTATTGATCATTCAGGGGAAATGCCCCTGGGCTCTGAGGGAAATCAGGGGGTTCTTCCTGGATTGATCATCTCCTCATGGTGCTGGAGGGGGACAGGGCACGAGTGTCACCACCAGGCCTGAAAGACAGAGCCCCAAACGTCACCCCCAAAGTCCACTGCAACATGAGAGGGGCCTTGTCCTGACCCCTCTCCCTGCAGGCACTGCTCACCTCAGCCATCCAGGGATGCAGCCACGCCTTTCTCACCAACAGGACCCACCACCTTCTCAACCACAGGGGGCTGGGGACAAAGGCAGGGTTAGGGACACCCTGGGTGCAGTGGGATGTATTGGGAGCCTGGGGGAAGAAATGGGATCCTTGGGGAAGGTGCACTGGGGTATACTGGGGCAGACTGGGATGGCCAGAAGTGTCATGGCCATGTGAGGGGAGGACCCGACTCAGGCAGAACTCCTGGTACCCACCTGAGCCATCTTCAGGATCCCAACGTCCACTAAATGCAGCTGGAGAGAGCCCAGGAGCCCTGGCTGGTCACTGGGATGTCCCCGGTGCCAGCGAGGGATGGGGGGACCAAAGTGTCCCCCAGTTCCCAGACTGGATGCCCTCCAGTCCCCCCGGCCCACTCACCTCCCGCAGATCATTTTGGGTTCCTGCCAAGAGTGCCTGGGCAAGGAGAGCAAAGGTTTAAGCAGGATTGGCCCCTGTGGGGCTGGGGGAGGGACACGGGGGTCCCCAGCCCCCCCAGCCCAGGGCTGCCCCCGTCTGAGGGGGAAAATCCCTTCTGCTCCCCCTGCTCCCACTGCCCCCAGTTTCACCTCCAACCCCTGTGCCTGCAGGGCCCAGGGTGGGGATGGAGACAAGGAGAGCCAGGGGAATTCAGGGCCTGCAGGGACGGTGGGGGGAGTAGGAGGGGACCCAAAGATGCTGAACTGGGGGGAACTGGGGAGCCCACGGGACTGGGATTGGGGTGTTGAAGGGGCCCTGTGTGGGATGCAGGGGAGGGGAAAGGAATTCAAGTGTAGGGACATGGGCACTGCAAGGGAGAGGCTTGGTGGGGACAGGAGGAGGATGATGGAGGAGGACAAAAACAAGGGCAATGGGAGATGGTTGGGAGTGGAGAGGGAGGCAAGGAATGGTCTTGGGAGGTACCAGGGCAGTGACCTGGATGAAAGGCAAAGGTCTGAGGGGAAGGATGGAAAGAAAAGCTTTGGGAATGATCAGTGGGAGGATGTTTGGGGACCCTGGGTAGGACACAGAGCAGATGCTGGGGAGGAGATGCCTGAGGGGACCAAAAAGGATGGGATGGGAGGCCCAAGAGGTGGGATTTGGGAGCACCATTAAAAGAAACAGGTGGGGGCCCTCCCAGCAATTGACAGTGGACCTCCCTTGTCAGGGATTGCTGAATGGCTTCCTGCCGTTGCATCTTTCATTTCTTATCAAAAATCACCCAAATAGTTTTCAAACAGTGCCTGCCAGAGGAGCTTGAAGGCACTCGTTCCATCAAAGCCATACCTGTAATTCAGGGGCATAAATAGAGAATGTAGATTTGTCTCTTAAGGTGCTGTCTCATTTCTACTAGATGTCAATTAGTACCATGTAAAACATGATCATTAAAATTAAAAACTCTTACCCTTCTATTTCCCTTTGAAAAATAATTCTGCTGTTAAAACTCTCACTTCTGTTTGATTGTTTAAAATCCAAATGAATGTGTGTACTAGTGGACACAGACAGGGCTCCCTCACAGAGAAGCCCATGAAGTATGGGCTGGATGAGCAGACAGCAGGCTGGTTGAAATCTGCTGGCTGGGGTGGTGATCAGGAGTGCAACATCCAGCTGGAGGCCAGTGATCAGCAATTCCTGGTGAACATCTTCCTTGATGATCTGGATGATGGGATATAGTGCTCAAGTTTAATGGAGCTGATGAGTTTACATTCCGACTGCAAGGAACATGTTTTCACATCTGAAGCAGGGGATGGGAAACCAGAGACTCACTGTGAACACCCAATGATTTCCAGAGCCTTTCCAGAGCACTTCATTCCAATCCAGGAATTTTGGATTAAAAAATCACGGTGCTCCTCCATTACTCTGGAAAGGGGACCCTGGTCTGTCGGGAGTGAGGACATTGCTGAATCTGAAAGCTGGAGAAGACAACAAGAAATGTGTGACCCTCCAGAGGATGAAAGCCCTGGATGAAGTTGTCAAGAAGTTCAGACCCAAAGCCTTTCGAGTTTTACGGTTGTGTCTAAACATTTACTGTAGTTTTTCCCTTGTTTGTCCCCTGAAATTGTTTGATGAAAAATCCCCTTGATGTCTGTATCCTTAGACCCCGCTCCCTGATTGGCCAAAGTTTGTTGCATTGCAGTATTTCCTTTTTGGCCACCCTTTCCCTAAAATGGATAAACCCTACCCCCTTTTTCCCTTATCCAGTTACACTTTGCATGCTGGGGTCCCATCTGGGGGGCCAGGAAGAGCTGTGCTTTGGTACCAATTACCTCTGCAGCTGCTCGTATGCCTTCATAGGCTGCTAAGATTTCCTTCTCCTCAGGGGTGGAATTGGCCTCAGAACCTCTGTAGCTTCGGCTCCAGAAACCCAGTGGTCGCCCTCACGTCTCACCAGGCACCTTTGGCCAGAGGCTCCAGGAGGGACCTTTATCTCCAGCTGCAGAGTAGAGCACATTCTTTACCTCTGGTCCTGTCCTGACTGCTCCAAGAGCCACGGCATGTGCAATCTCTTGCTTGATCTGCCTGAAAGCTTGTTGTTGTTCAGGACCCCACTGGAAATTGTTCTTTTCACGGGTCACAAAGTAAAGAGGGCTCACCATCTGGCTGTACTCTGGGATGTGCATCCTCCAGAAGCCAATGGCTCCCAGAAAAGCTTGGGTTTCTTTCTTGTTTGTGGGTGGAGCCATTGCTACAATCTTGTTGAGGACGTCTGTTGGTATCTGGTGTCGTCCATTTGCCATTTCAGCCCTAGGAACTGGATCTCTTGGGCAGGGCCCTTGACCTTACTCTTCTTGATGGCAAAACCAGCCTCGAGGAGAATCTGGATGATCTTCTGTCCTTTCTCGAAAACTTCTTCTGCTGTGTCCCCCCCACAATGATGTCATGGATGTACTGGATGGATGGATGGGGGTCACAGCATCTCGGTTCCTCCGATACTGTTGCCTGTGTACAGTTGTCGTGGCCGTTGGCACTTCTTGTCCCCAAAGCTCCAGCGATTCCTTTCGTACAACAAGGGGACCAATGCAGCACCACCTCTCCAATTTTAAGTAGCAGTTTCGCTGCCTTCACCACTAGGATCATTGTCACTGAGCAATGTAGGGATGGGTTAGAGCTGATCTTGGAGTCTTTGCTACCAAACCTTGAAGGCCACCATTAAGGAAACTGGCTACTAGGCCGTGGGTGTCGAAATTAAGGAAAGGAAGCAATTCATTCCATCCATCTGAACGGTCCCTCACAGGATGTCCTAGGACAGGCACAAAAACAGCAAGAATCAGGAAAAAAATTAGTAAAAAGGCCATTGTTATTATTTTTCTTTCTCCTTCTTCCTAAACAAAGCTATGTTTAGATAAACAAAATCCTTCTTGGCAGCTCTCCCAGGAGTGTCCCAAAACAATGGGGGATGTTGACAAAACAAACCTGCTCTTGGCAGCTTTCCCAGACAATGTTCCCACAACAAAACCAAAGGAACCAAAACAATCCCACTTCTGACACCAAAACCATCTGTAGCCAGTTGGAGTTGGCTTCCTGCCAAACCCCACAGACTACAGAAGATTACTACGTGTAAATTTAGGGTAGAACTTAGGTGGGAGGTTCCTGTGCCACAGAGCTCTTGCCCACAGTTTCTCTTGGAAAAGAATGGAGTTCCACAGCTCATTGCTTCCATTTCAACCTTTTTGGGCCTTTGACCACTCTGGAAAATCTGGACCAACCTGATGAGCAGAAGTCTTGGGCTTTACCACAGGTGTCTGGGTGGTGTTCTGAGAGCCAGACTTCTGCTCAGTCCCAAACTGATGCCAACATGTCCCAGGCCAGGTGAATCCAGAAGTGGACTTGCAGCCAGAAGTCCGCTGACAGCGCTGCTTGGGACCACAGATCTGCTTCTGTGGCGCTCCAAAAAGAGCTTGGTGTTGGCCACTGCAAGTCTCTCAGTAGCTCTGAAACATTCACAAGCACACACAGAGTCATCTTTGGCAGGAAGGCTTTCGCAAAGTTCCCCTCCACAGCCTTGGCTACTACTCGACTTCTAAAAGCCAAGGGCATGAAGAGCGTCCAAACCCAGCACATCCTTTGATCTGAGCTTGTTCACAGGGCCTGTTTCTAAGAAATCACACCAAGTGCAAGGAGCAGCCAGTGGCACCTCCAGAAGAACTCTGGGCCACCCTGGCCTTCTCAAGGAAAGCTCAACCCTCAGACCCGCTGCCAAAACAGAAGCCAAGAAAGAGCCGCCTTATTTTGGATTCACAGAATCCAACTCTCTTCTCCCAGAGGCCTCTCCTTATTCAAACAGGAAAGGGCACAAGATTCATCTTCTCTGTCACCCACAGGATGAGGAGAGTTGAGACTGGCAAAAAGACTGCCTGCTAAAACAACCTCAACTTGAAAAGACACCAATAATGCCAGAGTGGTGCTGCTGTGGGGTTACTGCTGGAACTCTAAAGAGAAAGGAAGACAGGTCTGAGGAAGGGAAGGCTCTGAAGGAACTTTCCCCACAAAGATGCCACGTTCTGCTTTCACACCTGATGCTGGCCAGATGCAGAAAAGGGATTTCCAAGGAAAATGCAGGAGGAAAAAGGAGTCTGTTCTTACCAGTCCAAAAAAGCAGGGACTTACCTTTCCAGTTTCTTGGTGAGGCTTTTTCTTCTTTGGGCTTCCACCAGATACAGCTCTTTGTACTTGTCCACTTCTGCCTGGGTGGATTCCTTTTGAAAAGGTCTTTCTGCTTGGTTGCTTTTTGTCCTTCCCAGTGCACGTTCCAGATCTCTAATTCTGTCTTCTAACTGTTTTTTCAGTGAGTCCACATGACTGCTTCTGATTTCTTCTAAGGTGTCCTGGTGGGCTGCCTGTGCCTGAAGGAGACAGTGCACCTTCAACCACCACAAGAAAAAGAGAGCTCTGCCCAGCACAAAATTGCACACACCCACTTTCAAGGGCCCAGCCTGACTCAGAGAGGCGGCTCTGCCTCCTCACTCCCAGCAGCAACCAAGGCAGAACCCAGGAGCTGCCAGGGCAAACAATTCTTTGCAGTGGGAAAGAAGCCCAAATGAGCACTCTGCTTCAAAGCTACTAATGAAGAGACACTGGGTCTGTAGGACAGGGCATGTCCAAAAGGATTCTTCAAAGACAAGAAGAGCTTCCACCTCCACCCTCTCCCTCCCATCCCTGGAATTTCAGTGACTCCTTTTCTGAGCACTTTCACCCCCTCCAAGGACAAAGCAGCACCTGTAGGTCTGGCCATGACAGCTGCAAGTTGCCAAACCCATCCAAGGATGAGCAGTGAGAAGCAGAGCAGCGCACAGAGATCCCCCCAAGCACTGCAAAGTGGGAATCTGCCTTGGGCAGCCTTTGCATTCAGGGACCTGCCACCACATTCCACACCCATGACAGCACTCCTGCCCAACCAGATTGCCTTCTGCCACTGCCTTCAGCAAAGACAGAAGCTAACCCACAGAACACAGGAGCAAAAGAAAAAGACCAAAAACCATGGCCACAAGAGAAGTTTACGTAGCACCTGTGGACACTGGGGAGAAATTCACTTACTTGCAAAAACTCATTGACTTCTTGGAGTTTTTGTCTTATTTCCTGGTCTGCTTGTTCTTCCACCTCTCTTTTGCACTGTTCGAGTTGGCTGCGATCCACCACGTTGGTCTCCAAATGATGGTGGAGTTTTGCCAGCTCTTCTTGCAGCTGGCATTTGTCCAGGGCCAGGTTCTCGCACTCCCCACGCAGGGCAGACAGCTCTTCTTGCAAAGCCTGATTTTTGGCCTCCAGCTGCGTGCACTGTTCACGTTCCCTGTCCAACTGCTGGGAAAGTTCAGCAACCTGCAGACAGAAAATAAAAAAAGGAACTCAGCGTGGTGTAAAGGCAGTGAATTCCTGGAAAACCTCAAAAGGGGGTGCCCAGGGAGACTTTATTCATCATCTGCTGGCTCAGGACTAGACACAAAGTGCAACCAGGCTTTTCTTTTCCAGCAAGAACAGCTTTCCCATCATTTTTCATAGGATTCCTCAGCTTCCCAGCCTTTTGGAGTTCCTCATGCAAAAATGCTCCAAGCTTCTGGACTCCAAAGGAATGACTGCAAAGGCAGGAAGCCATTCTACAGGGATGCCTTCAAACCCAAGCGTGGCTCTGACAGACGCCGCTTCAGCAACGGATCCGAGTGACGAGCGGAGAAGGGATGAGAGGTTCTGTGCCACTGCTGCACAGGCACAGCAGCCTCAAAAGCACTGCTGGGAACAGTCCTTCGGGCTCCCCGCCACAGGATGGGCTGAAACAGCTCCCCGTGAGCAAGAAGGGACAGATTTTCCCCTGGGAGGCCCCTGTCCTCCTTGGGCCCTGGGCAGCAACAACACTGTGGAGAAAAGCCAAACCTCAAGGGCCTCCTGCTCAGCTCGTGCCTGAGACAGGGCTCAGGGGCTGATGGTGCCCTGCCAGTGACAGCGCTGTTCCTCCCCTCTCTGCCAGGGCAGCAATTCATCTGGCACACCCAGAGGACGCTGTCACAGCCTCCCTCCAGCTGCAGCCAGGCCTGAGCTGGGCCCCACTGCTCTCAGCCCATGCACGTGATGTCCTGCCAGGACGGCAGACCTGCCCATCCCTCAGGCCCAGCCGGGGGATCTGCACTCTTGGCTGACCCCGCTCACTCTCACAGGACCTGTTCTGCTCTTCTTGCTCAGGGCCTGTGGGACGGCTCCCTGGCCCGGGAGCTCACGCACCCTGCCAGGCTGGCTGCCACTCCTGGCTTGCCCCTCCTCTGCAGGACAGCCTGGCCTCCATCAGCCCTTACACCTACTGCTTTGCCCTCAACATTTGCATCTTTCCCCAGAAGGAGAACTACCCCGGATTAGTTCGAGTCATCTCCCACTGGAACAGCAGGAGGAGCATTAAGAAAAGCCCATCACATCCAAAATGCAGCCAAGGGAATAAAAACATCCACATGACAAGAAATAGAGGGAAAGCATCTCCCAGCTTTCAAAAGAAGGAACACCACAACCAAAGAGCCCCACCCCGAGCGCAGCTCACCTCTTTTTGGAATCTATCAACTTCCTTGACCTTTTCAGAATATCTCTTCTTCATTTCTTCCAGCTGGGACTGACTTCCTTTCTCTTCATTAACCCGGAGTTTCCTGCTCTCTATCCTCAGAAGCTTTTCCAGCCTGCACAGCAAATCAGTGAAGAAAACCATGAAACACAGGAAGAACCAGCCTTTCCCCCACAGTCTCACAGAAACAGCACAGACAGCATCCAAGCCTAGAATGGCTTGGCTTGGCAGGGACCTTAAAGATCATCCAGTTCCAAGCTTCCTGCTCTGGGCAGGGACACCTTCCACCAGACCAGCTTGTTCACAACTCCATCCAACCCGGCCTTGAACACTTCCAGCCATGGGGCATCCACAGCTTCTCTGGGCAACCGGTTGCAGTTCCTCACCACCCTCACAGCAACCAATTTCTTCCCAGGATCAAATCTAAACCTATTCTCTTTCCGTTTGAAGCTATTCCCCCTTGTCCTCTCACTACCTGCTCTTTTAAATGCACTCTCTTCATCCTTCTTGTGGGCTCCCTTCACACCCCAAAAGGCCACAGTTAGGTCACCCCAAGGCCTCCTCTTTTCCAGGCTGAAGGGTTGCAATTGTCCCAGCCTTTCCTCCTAGCAGAGGTGCTCCATCTTTCCAAGCACCTTGGTGGCCTCCTCTGGACTCAGTCCAACAGCTGGAGGTCCTTGCTGTGCTGAGGAGCCCAGAGCTGGATGCAGCCCTCCAGCTGGGCTCTCCCAGGGGCAGAGCAGAGAGGCAGAATGCCCTCCCTCCACCCGCTGGCCACGCTGCCTTGGACGCAGCCCAGGACACAATTGGCTCTCTGGGCTGCGAGCGCACATCGCCGGCTCATGTCCGGCCTCTCCTCCAGCCCAAGGGCTTCTCGGCAGGGCTGCTCTGCCCCTCTTCATCCCCCAGCCTGCACTGATACAGGGGCTGCCCTGAGCCACGGCCAGCATCTTGCACTGGCTCTGGTTAAACCATCAGCAGATTGCCATGGGCCCACTTCTCCAGCTGGTCCAGGGCCCTCTGGATGGCATCAGCTGTGTCAACCACACCCCTCAGCTTGGTGGCAGCTGCAAATTTGCTGAGGGCGCACTCCATCCCTTCCTCTGGATCATTAGTGAAGACATTAAAGAACACTGGGCCCAGTCCAGACCCCTCAGGGACACCACTCGGCACTGATGGCCCTCAGCACTCTGAGCCATTGATCACCACCTCTGCATGGCACTGTTCACCCAATTTCTTCTCCATCTAACAGTCCACGCATCCAATCCATCTCTCTCCACTTTGGAGAGAAGGATGTTGTGGGGGACTGTGTCAAAGGCTTTCCAGAATGACAGGGAGATGACATGGGTAGCCCTTGTCCACTGAGGCAGTCACTCCATCTTAGAAGGCCACCAGGTTGGTCAAGCAGGACTTGCCCTTGGGGAAGCTGTGCTGGTGCTTCCAATCACCTCCCTGTCATCCACGTGCCTTGACAGAGCTTCTAGAAGGATCTTTTCCATCACCTCCCCAGGCACAGAGGGCAGGCTGACAGGTTGGCAGTTCCCAGGACCCTCCTTTCTACCCCTTTCAAAGATGGGCACAGTGGGTTTCCCTTTGTCCCCTCACCTGGGACTTCCCCTGACTGCCACGACTTTTCAAATATCAAGGAGAGGGTCTTGGCAACTCCATCAGACCCTGTTGGCCAATGGAGGGCAATAATGCTGGCCAGATGGAGAAGATGGATTTCCAAGGAAAATGCAGGAAGAAAAAGGAGTCTCTTATTACCACTCCAAACAAGCACGGACTCACCTTTCCAGTTTCTTGGCAAGGCATCTTCTGGTTTTCACTTCCTCCACATACAGCTCTTTGTACATCCCCATCTCTCCCTGTGTTGCTTCTTTACGAGAAGCACTCTCTTCTTGGGTGGTTTTGATCCTCTCCAATTCACTTTCAAGATTTCTAATCCTTTCTTCCAACTGGATTCTCATGGAATCACAATGAATGTCTCCAGTTTGTCCTAGTGGGGCCTGGTGGGCTGCCTGTGCCTGAAGGAGACAGTGCACCTTCAACCACCACAAGAAAAAGAGAGCTCTGCCCAGCACAAAATTGCACACACCCACTTTCAAGGGCCCAGCCTGACTCAGAGAGGCGGCTCTGCCTCCTCACTCCCAGCAGCAACCAAGGCAGAACCCAGGAGCTGCCAGGGCAAACAATTCTTTGCAGTGGGAAAGAAGCCCAAATGAGCACTCTGCTTCAAAGCTACTAATGAAGAGCCTGTGGACACTGGGGAGAAATTCACTTACTTGCAAAACGAGGCTGACCTCTTGTAGCTTTGGACTTCTTTCCTGGTCAGCTCCTTCTGCCACCTCTCCTGTACATTGTTCTCTTTGGCTGCAATCCAGCACCAAAGTCTCCAAATGATGGTGGTGTTTTGTCACCTCTTCTTGCAGCTGACATTTGCTCTTCTCCAGTTGTTCACACTTCCCAAGCAGAGTGGACAGCTCTTCTTGCAAAGCCTGGTTTAGGGCCTCGAGCTGCATGCCTGTTCCAGGCTCCACGTCCAGCTGCTGGGAAAGTTCACCACCCTGTGCACAGAGAAATAAAAGAAAAGGAAACTCAGCGTGATCTAAAGGCAGTGAATTCTGGGAAAACCTCTCAAGGGGGTGGCCATGGCAACTGTATTTATCATCTACTGGAAACCAGCCTAGGAAACACTTGAAAGATTCCCCGACAGAAAGAAGAAACTTTACACCTACTTAAGAATTTGGGAGACACTTCTGGCAACAATACTTCTGGGTCCCTTGGAGCTCATGATGAAACTCCTCATTTAGAATCTAAGAATTCCTCCAGTGTCCAGCACACCAAATACCCTCAGGGCTTTTGTAGCAGCTGGGGAAAGGACCAGGCTGCTTTCTGAGCAGCCTCTGCTGAGGAGAAGGCAGAAACTGAGCTCCCCAGGCTCTCCAGGAAAACTTCATCTGATAATTGCCCCACAGAAATAGGCAACTAGGCTCAAGAGTCACAAGAAGGGAAATTTAGCACCAGCTTACTGAGGCAGAGGCTTGCAGGGCTCTCGGAAGGGCTTCAATGCTCTCGCTTGGCTGCTGGACAGTGGCTTCCAATCTGCTGTTCTCACTTGCAAAGCTTAAGAAGAAATACAGCTCTTATGACCAGAAAATCCAATGCCAGACAAACTGTGCTAAGGAACAGAAGCCACAGCAGAAGTGTCCTTCAAAATCCCAATGACTCCCCCCCTGTTTCCACCCAATCCCCCAAAGCCACAGACCCCTCGCTTCACTGGGTTCCTCTCTTACTCTTGCGCGTCTTCTTCCAGGAGGTCCTGCAGTTCCTGGGAGGAAGTTATTGCCTCTCTTTTCTTGGCATCCAAGGCACTCTTCAAGTCAGGAACACAATGCTCAGACTGAAGATGCTTTTCTTCCTCCTCCTGCAGCTGTAAAACCACGGGAAGAATCCACAGTTGTCAGGGGAGCTTTTCCAGAGAGGAGCCAGCTGCTGCTGAAGAACTCAGGTGCTGCATGTCTGTGTGCATCCCCTCTGCCCAAAGAACTGAAATCCATTCAAGTCCCTTCAAAGCTTCACTTCTGCTCCCCAAGGAACACACTGAACACTGTTTTGTCCGTTTTCAGGATGGATAGGAAGCAACAGGCACCCCCAGGTTTCTCGCTGTGGGGACAGGCTTTCCATACCTCCGCGTCAGCCCTGTCCAGCTCCTCCTGCAAGCGCAGATTATCTTCCTCCAGGTGAGCCTCATGGCTTCCAGGAACCACAAGAGCACTCCTAAAGCATGCAAAATTTCATCGGAAACGTGTCTGACCCTGCATCAGTTTTCCCCTGCTTGCTCCCAAAACAGCTCTTCCCCCCTTTCCTACAAGCTCCATGAAAGCAAAGCCAAGTCCATGGAAGCACTGGAGAATTTCTCTTACAAGGGGCCTCCCTAAAGCAGCCTCAGCTACCAGCTCAGGCCATGCTGTTCAGGGTTCCTTGCACTGCTCTTCAAAGTCCCCCCACATGCGGCTGCACAAACTCCCAGGGTAAGCCCTTCGACCCCCTGACCATCTCCATGGCAGGAAGTTTTCTCCTTCTGTGCTCGGAGCCCCTCGTGTCCCCTGGGACAGTGTTGCTTCTCTTTCCCCCAACGCTTCCCTTCAGAGCACTGAACGCCCCAACTCTGCCGTGCCTTAAACCCCCCTGGCCTGCAGAGCAGCCACGCTGCTGAGCTACTGGCAAGTTTCCCCGGGGCTCTGGCTCTGGGTGGGGGAGGGCACCACAGACAAGGCTTTCTTGCAGACCTCAGCGGGCAAAGGACGAGAGCCCCTGAGGTACGAGAGCAGCCAAGGGCAGACCTGCATTTACCAGTCCCATGGGGAACTGCTTCCACGGGGCTGCTCCTTCTTTTGCCCAGCTCATTGCCACGCCCCTCGTCTGGGTCACACTTGCAGACTACCCAGAACACCCGGGGGCTGTTTTGACAAAGCCCTCACCTTTCCCCCTGGGCTT